AGTCTGACTACCTTTAACTCATCCTGGTTACTCTTTAATTTATATTTTCTTGTTTTTAAATGTCTATTTTTTTAAATTGTAGTTTGTAACTGATAAGTAAATGTATGTTGTTTCTCCCTTTTTAAAAAAAATCAAGTCCAACATTTGAACTGTAATCTGAAGTTGAAATGTCTGAAACACCCGTCCTCCAATCAAATGAACGTGTTGCTCCAAAATGTGAACTTGATCTAATTTATTGAAACAAATTGCAACAAAATCCAGAAAAAAGTAGAAAACATCAAATTTAACCAATAATTGAAGAGATGATCGTTTTAAAAGTTTGTTTTTTGCAGAATGAATGTTGGCACATGAGCTTCTGTAATTTGTTTATGCTGTTTCTAGGTTTGGATTAACAGGATGGCAGAAATGTGTTCATTTAATTTAAAGAAATTGTATGAATTCTAGATTTACAGGAAATTGTGTGTATGGGTCATCAGGGATGTTGGGGTACTTTTGGAAAATAAACAAAACTAACGGTGTCTCCTTGTTTGTTTTTTATTGTTGTGGCGCGACTTAATCCAGCCGAAGAGCTGGAGTTAATCTGAGTGGTTTTTTTTTTACACGATGCATGTCGTCTCCCAAACTGACCAAGGTCCACTGGAGGAGAATTGGAGCCAAAGTTTGTCCAGAGATTTTTAAAGTTTACATCTCCATTGAATTCTTAAACTGAGCTTTCACTCACGTAGTACCAACGATCTGAGAACTCACCGTCAAATCAAGCGTCCTGAAGTTTCCAAAACTATCTTCGTAAACACGAGTTTCTAGAATTAAGTCACCCAGAAACAGAACAATCTAAAACGCTTTGCTTAGCCAGGCCTGTAGGTGGCGCTGGAACAACAGCAAAGATGCACCACAAACGAGGAGGATGTGGAACACACAACGTGCACACTAGGTGTATGTATACAGGTGCTGGTCATAAAATTAGAACATCACAAAAAGTTGATTTATTTCAGTAATTCCATTCAAAAAGTGAAACTTGTATATTCATTCATTACACACAGACTGATATATTTCAAATGTTTCTCTTTTAATGTTGATGATTATAACTGACAACTAAAATTCAGTGTCTCAGAAAATTAGAATATTGTGAAAAGGTTCAATATTGAAGACGCCTGGTGTCACACTCTGATCAGCTGATTAACTCAAAACAGCTGCAAAGTCCTTTAAATGGTCTCAGTCTAGTTCTGTATGTTACACAATCATGGTTAAGACTGCTGACTTGACAGTTGTCCAAAAGACGACCATTGACACCTTGCACAAGGAGGACAAGACACAAAAGGTCATTGCTAAAGAGGCTGGCTGTTCACAGAGCGCTGTGTCCAAGCACATTAACAGAGACGAAGGGAAGGAAACGATGTGGTAGAAAAAAGTGTACAAGCAATAGAGATAACTGCACCCTGGAGAGGATGGTGAAGCAAAACCCATTCCAAAATGTGGGGGAGATTCACAAAGAGTGGACTGCTGCTGGAGTCAGTGCTTCAAGAACCACCACACACAGATGTATGCAAGACATGGGTTTCAGCTGTCACATTCCTTGTGTCAAGCCACTCTTGAACAAGAGACATCATCAGAAGAGTCTCACCTGGGACTGATGCTGAGTGGTCCAAAGTTCTGTTCTCTGATGAAAGTAAATTGTGCATTTCCTTTGTAAATCAAGGTCCCAGAGTCTGGAGGAAGAGAGGAGAGACACAGAATCCATGTTGCTTGAGGTCCAGTGTCAAGTTTCCACAGTCAGTGATGGTTTGGGGCCATGTCATCTGCTGGTGTTGGTCCACTGTGTTTTCTGAGGTTCAAGGTCAACACAGCATCTACCAGGAAGTTTTAGAGACTTCCTGCTTCCTGCTGCTGACCAACTTTATGGAGATGAAGATTTAATTTTCCAACAGGACTTGTCACCTGCACACAGTGCCGAAGATACCAGCACCTGGTTTAAGGACCATGGTATCCCTGTTCTTAACTGGCCAACAAACTCTCCTGAACTTGACCCCATAGAAAATCTATGAGTTATTGTGAAGAGGAAGATGTGACACACCAGAGCCAACAATTCAGAAGAGCTGAAGGCCACGATCAGAACAACCTGGACTCTCAGAACACCTGAGCAGAGACACAGACTGATCCACTCCATGACACGACGCATTGATGCAGTGATCCAGACACAAGGAGCAACAACTAAGTACTGATGCTGCACAGGATCATACTTTATGTTCATACTTTGTGTTTATACTTTGTGTTCATACTTTTCATGTTCATACTTTAAAGTTGGCCAACATTTCCAAAAATCCTTTTTTTAATTGGTCTTAATATTCTAATTTTCTGAGATACTGAATTTGGGGTTTTCATTAGTTGTCAGTTATAATCATCAACATTAAACTCCTCGAGTCCTCGAGGCTCAATGGGATTTACCTGTATAAATAAAGGTTGATTGATTAAAATAAATAAACATTTGAATATATCAGGCTGTGTGTAATGAATATAATTTACAAGTTTCACTTTTTGAATGGAATTACTGAAATAAATCAACTTTTTCATGATGTTCTAATTTGATGACCAGCACCTGTGTACATCTGTAATGTGTTGCAGAGAAACTAGAGATGGGCTTTTAAAGACTTCTTCCTGATTGGTTTATTGAAAGATCTCACCAGTGACACCTAGTGGTTCGCTGCAGTCACAGCATCCACAAACGTTCTAGTGCAGGGTCTGCAATCTTTAAGATCAAGAGCCATTTCTGCCCCTTTGTTCACTAGATTAAACATGTCTGGAGACAATACCTGCTACAACTGGAATTCTCAACTGGTGGCCCATGGACCACTTTAAGTTAGTTGGAGGGTGCTTTTCAGGACAGTAGAGGTGATTTTATAAAACTCAAAATATCTAATGATTTTTAACATTTATTGATATTTTTACTCTCTTAAGACAAAATAAAAGACGAGATTTGTGTAAACAAGGAAAAAAATAACAGTTTTTGCCCAGTTTCTAAAAATTGAGACAAGAAACTATGCATTGTGTGATTTTTTTAAATTGTAAATGGACTGTACTTATATATCACCTTTCCATCTTATTTCAAGATACTCAAAGCTCTTTACAATCTGTCTCTCATTTACCCATTCATACAGCTCTATACTAGATCTCTACAAAGATAATTAAACAAATCATTCTAAAGAAACTAATCAGAGCTTTATCACATTCATACACTGATGGGACACACATCAGAGGCTGTGAGGGGTTCAGTGTCTTGCCCAAGGACACTTCGGCATGTGTCTGCTGGTGGATTCGAACCCCCAACTCTTACATTGGAGGACGACTGCTCTAACCACTCAGCCACAGCTGCCTTTTAGAAAAATTGCGTATCTTACTTTGAAGAAATAAAGTGAAAGTATGTTTTACTCCTTGTAATGTTTCTAGTATTCATATATTTGCTAAATAAACTACAGGAAAACTACTAAAACTTGCTCTTTTAGTTCTTGTTATAACAACCAATAAAATTCAGTTTTATGTCAATTTTGGTCAAAGCTTGAAAGAGCCGCTGCAGAGGGACCAAACAGCCACAGATTGCAGACCTCTGTTCTACTGGTTCCCAACCCTGGTCCCTGAGGAACACCATCCTGCATGTTTTAGTTTTTTCTCTGCTCCGACACACCTGACTCAGTGGTTTAATTACTTCCTTAAGTTTGGCAGAAGACTGTTAATCACACTTTCATTCAAATCAGGTGTGTTGAGCAGAGGAACAACTAAAACATGCAGGATGGTGTTCCTCAGGGACCAGGGTTGGGAACCACAACGGTAGTGAAGATTCGAGCCGGTCACCCGTCACCTCATGTCTGGTGTTTCATGGAGACGTCTGAAGCCTCAAATATCACTGGTCACCTGATAATGGAGATTTGATACAAGCCACGACACAGAGCTCGAGTAGAGGGAAACATCCAGCTCTCTCTTCCAGCATCTTCTCTAATAGAAACCATCAACGGTCAACACAACAATTAAAACAGACACGGATGGTGAATACAAGAGCAGGAACAAAAGTTGTTTTGTGGACTGACAGGTGGAACTTCTACTCTGCGTCACATTAAACTACGACCACTAGAGTGCAGGACAGAGTCAAACTCAGTCATGTCCAAATACATGGACATTATGGACACTTTCAGTATCCAGCGGAGGACAGCTGGAGGAAGGGAGGGGTTTCCTCAGGAATCTGCAGTACAGAAACCTGTATTTACCAGAAACTGTAATAAGAACAGTATCTCACACTAAGGAGATGTCTTTAAAATAATGGAATAAAAATAGAAGAGGTGCACATCAACTCGCTCTCCTCAGATCTGCTTGATGTTCGACTTATAAAAAACTATTAAAATACTCTCCTGGTAAGATTTAACTGAACATTTATTAAACAGCAGAGGGTATTTAAAGCCCAACAATTATGGCCCTTTTGGTTTTCCATACTTCTCCACACAGCTCATGTAATCAGGCAGGTCTTCTAGCTCCAGAGTTTCTGAACTACGAAGCAGGAACGACAGGCTAGCTCAGTAAGCAGAGATTCTGGATCCAAAAGGAGGATCTCTTTGGGCCCAGATCTCCACACCAATACAGGTTAAGTCCACAAATACTGACTTTTGTTTAATGATAAGCAGGACGAGTTCAAGTAACACCAGAACCTCTGTTATAGAACTGGTTACATCTGGTGGACTTTTAGGTTTTGTAAAGGCAGGATACAAAAAAGAGCCTGTTTATGATGAACTCTGATGAGGAGTGCCTGTCAGATCATATCTGTCTTTACTCCTTTCCCGTCATGGCAGTTAGCAAAAATAACTCAGAGCGTTTTCTCCAAGAGGAGCGTGGCGATGATCTGTGTTCTTCACCTGACAGCATACAGAACCCTGATACGTGTACGGTTCAGTACAGTTACATGTACCTTTACACCTCTACGGTATTTTGTTTCCATATCAAAATGTGTAGAAAAAAACATGGAAAGTAAAAAAAAGGAGGCTATGACTTGATACAAGTTGTAGTCTCTGTTCATAGTAGTCTCTTCATGGCCTGTGGGTAGTACTTGAGAAAGATTCTGTAGGTGATCTCGTAAGTGTCTCCCTGAGGTTTAGTTGGGTACTTTCTGCCGTTGTAAATGAAACCCTTCTCAACTTGGAAAACTGCTTGATTGAAGATGTCCTGCTTGTATGGCTGTCCACTGTCCAGACACTCCACCAGTGTTTGGACAAAAAGCCCCCATCGCTGAGCGTAGTAGTCTTCCATAAGGCCCCCCCACTCTTTATTTGCGTAGTCCAGGATCTCACCACTGGGACCCCACAGGGTGACCTGGTTTCTGGCGTTCATGTCGTAAAGCTGCGCCTCCCTCTCATTCAGAGCCATGGATCGTGCTCGCTCCAGCCAAGACCCCAACAGAAAGTTGCTGTTGCTGCTCAGCAAACGATTCAGCTCAGGCAAGAGGTCGTAAATCAGCACGCCTCCGGCGGTCAGCAGCTCGGACATTTTTTTATTGTGGAAAGCATCAGCGATATCCTTGTAATAATACGTTGTTAGGACTTGAAGGACCTGCCTGGTCACATCCACAAGATCATATTGAAAGGTCTCTTTGGACATAAGAGAAGGAGCTGCTTCCATGAACAGTTTCCAGGCTTCAAATAAATCAGCTGGGTCGTACCAAAGGTCAGGATTCATGTGAAACGATGGCCTGCGCACAAGTGGGCTATGGTTGTGGTTTTTATAATGAGGCACGGTGCAGTTGTACACACCAAAAAATAGGAGCTTCCATGCAGCGGTCAGGTTAGCATCCATCCTGCCGTAGCGGCGTGCTGCATATAGAGACACCCACTTGGCCAAGTTGACAGGCTCTTTGCGCCAAGCTAGTTCACTCATCAGCTCGTATACAACAGGATTCTGCTCAATACCCTCAGGTGTCATGCCTATTCCTACAATAGTGGAGTTTGGAAAGCTCATGGCTTGGAATGGTCCGGAATTGATGCTTTCCACTGTGCCAAAAAGCCCATTGTTTCCTCCAAAGTTCTGCAGCATACACCAGATGAAGGGTTGTCCATAGAAAGACTCTGTGTACGAGAAGACTGGGTTAGCCTCTGCAAATAGGTCGAGCACAATCATTCTTCCAAGGGGTACTCCTCGCAGCAGAGCCTGGATCTGTGCTGGCTTCCAGAAGGTGGAATCACTGAAGAACAGCCAGCCCTGCATCAGCCAAACTGCATCAGGATCAACTGCAAACCGGGAGTGGGGGGGGGGGGGGGGAGATCAAACAGAGGACAGTTTAACATGGGCCATTACACCAAAAATTGTTTTCCTCTTGTTTACATTTTCACAATTTTTTTTTCCATCTACTACACTTTGTGCTATTTTAGCCATGAAACCATTCAGATCAACCAGATGCAGCAGTCCTCTGACTTTCAGCTTTTGTAACTATTATTTTTCAAAATATTAAATCTTATTTACGAACATTTTACCATAAAAATACACAGAGATCTCCATTTCCTTCAAAAACATTTGTTTTCTTTAAAAATCTGCTTCATCGTGCCTACTCTGTTTTTGCCTTCTTCGGCTACTTTTACCCTACTTTTAACTTTAAGCTTCTGACTACATTTAGTTTTTCGCTACCATTATACAGGTCCTTCTCAAAAAATTAGCATATTGTGATAAAGGTCATTATTTTCCATAATGTAATGATAAAAATGAAACTTTCATATATTTCAGATTCATTGCACACCAACTGAAATATTTCAGGTCTTTAATTGTTTTAATACTGATGATTATGGCATACAGCTCATGAAAACCCAAAATGCCTGTCCCAAAAAATTAGCATAT